CTTTCCACTTCAGCATGAGCACTGTAAGATTAGCAAGACCACAGTCTCTGAGTGCTGTAAAAGTGCCACAGGAAGCTCCTCCACTTTGGCTTTGGCTATAAGCTCGGGGTTTTGCATTCACTCACAGCCCAGTTTCAAACTTCATGACAAGGTTTGGAGCCAAGGCCCCACAGTCCAAAAGACAACAAAAGAAGGCTTCACTTGGACAAGTGTCTAGGAAACAACAGATATTTAACTGACGGTTTTATGCTAGACAGCATGATAATTTTAAGACAGACTGGAAAGTATGAGACAGTTTCTTTTCATCACAATAGCTACAATTTTGCAATTGAGAGTTCAGAACTGAAAGACATGAAAAGATCAGAATAGCTGTGTTTTTAAGAAGTCAAAGTATTACATTTTTTGGTACTTGCTAGGTAGGTTAACTGTCAGTCATATGCCTGGCTTGCATAGATTGTGCACAGCTTCACTCGCTACATACACGTAAATATACATTATTTATTGATGGTGTTCTATGTCTCTCTCTGCTTTGTCTGACAGACATTTCCTACTTGCTTTTGTGTCGTACTTATCTACATTCTGCAGGAGAAACAATTAACCCAAGTGATTTTACAGCAGCTCTTTGCTTTATTTTATCTTAGTGGAATTTAATTCAGATAGATTCATTTGTGCTGTGTCTAAGTTGAAGAAAAAAAAAAAAAAAGTGAAAGAATCTTGCCTTTAATCTGCTTTTACAATGAAAACTCTGGGCTCTTGGCTTTTTTTTTTCTGTACTGAAACTCCGCATGGTTACACAACAATTAAAAGGGAGATTAAGAAGCAAGACAATAAAGAAGTATGTTTATAGAACTGGCCTGCTGCATCTCCCGTGTGGAGTACGGTAAGACTGCAGAACTTAAAACTAACAAAAATATATGTCATGAACTGATACATTTAAGGCAAGTAAAATACTCGCATAGGAAAATGTAGCATGAAGAGGATCAGAAAGTGGTGATGTGTTGGTCTTAGAGTTAGTACACTGCATAGCAAGTTTATATGAATAGTCTCATGTGGATCTTCTCAAGGAGCCAAATCTGTGCTCCTGAGAATCCAGCTTTGTCCTCAGCAGGACAAAGTTCAGTGAACTGCTATAATCTGTGTAAGAAAATAAGCTTGGCTGGGAAATAACTTGGAAGGCTTCCTTTGTGAAAAAGTACAGAGATGAAAGACTACTGTATTTTTGCAGAAGCGTTTTAAATCCTTCAAAAGAATGGGCACAGCAAGGGGCAGAGAAGACAGACACTATTAACTGGAAGTCAGCTATACAGTGGAAGAATAATGTCAAAGATTAGTACAAATAAAGAAGTCAACAACTACTAAATTTCAACAGATCATGACAGCAGGAATACTGAGTTTTGGGGGGAAATAAAGTAAATGCAGACTTCAGTCCAACCACTCCTCCCCACTCCAAGGCAACAGAGGTCTCTTAGGAGTGCATCATGGCTACATTATTTACTTAGCGGGGCTAAACCATACACAAGGCAAAACAAAATTCAGAGTATAGCTGAATTTTATGTCCCTTTGTGCCCCAAGAGGATGGTCACTAGAGAAGAATTGGGTCGTGCAGCATGAGCAACTGCTTCTGTTGCAAAATCCAAAGCAGGCATTTGGTTCTGCTATCTACCTGTTTTGCAGCTGTTCCTCCATGTTTGTCTGGAGGATAACATATTTCGATCACAAGGGTAGCTCTTCTAAGATATGATTTTTCCCAAATTCTGAAATTAAAATCTGCAGTCTTCCTACCTTCATTATCATCCTTTTTTTAGAATTCAAGCTTTTTTTTTTTTTTTTTAAATCTTTTGGTACCACATGCAGTAGTCTTTGTTCTGCACATTTGTTTCACTTGCTTTTCAAATTTTTGATGAACAGTAATTGCATATTTTGTCTCCTAAAACCTTAAATTTAGAAATTTTAATGAATAACTAAAACATCGCTAAAGAGCACAGACATGACTCTGCCTACTTCTGCTTTCCCATTTTCCAGGTCACCCTCAAATAAGGATAGGACCAAGGCCTCAAAGAACAGAACTGATATTTTTATCTTCCTCTCCTTTTTCAAGCTCATAAAATCTTTAAACACTGCACTAGACATAAGGAATATATTGAATGAAAAAAAAACAAAACAAAACAAAAATAAAACCAAAAAACAAACCCATGAAGAAAAGCATTTGATAAAATATGTTTTAGAGAAATTTTGCATGTTTTAATTCAGAGGTAAAAGGGAGGGATTATTTCCTCAGTAGCACCAGACATTCTAGACAGGAATGTCCACTTGGTATTCTGGAGGCCAAGATACCTCTGCTGTCCTTGAATGAAGAAGTTTCGTTTCTCAGAACACTGAGGAAGAAAGGGGTGAAGTAGATTTGCTGTCCTGGCTCATCATTCCCACTGGGACCAAACCACATGAAAAAGGTGGAAGAACGCAACAGCTGTTGCACCACTCTGCTGCAATTTTCATGAGTCTGACAGTAGGCCAAGAAACTATGAAATGACTCGGAATACCTGAAACAGGTTGTACATTGTTGATAATTATATTTGCAATGGCAATGATGCCTACACCAATATGATTTAGAGAAGAAAGACCGGTGTGAATAATCTTACGATGGAATTTTGGAAATAATAGCTTTAGAGGAAAGATTAATCAGCTGTATAAAAATTAAATTTTAACGAGGGAAATTGAAAAGCCTGAACATACCAAGCAGTAAGTAAATATCGCTGCTGAGGATTTTAACATTAAGTACTGCCTGACTTAGCAAAGGCTGTGTCATTGCAAATGTGAAAATGATGAGATAAAACAGTTAAGCATCAAGGGAAAAACATAAAATGAAAAATAATGAAATGTGTATCACCATTCTTTTACACTGATGACAGAAAGAAGATTATATAAGCATTAAGAGAATGCTACCCATAGCTGCTCCATCTTCATGGAAGCTGCAAGAGGGTTCACAGTAGAGAAGTAGTAGTTCAAAGAATAAAAAAAGAATATGCTAAGTTTAATAGCTAAAATGGTACGTGGGAATGTACAATTTTATGGTACATTAGGACACTGGATACATTGGTACATGGGAATTTGTGTAGTTGTGTTCAATCATAAAGTGATGAGTGATGAGAATGGATGATTAAGGTCAACTGGAGAAGGGAATAGGTGTAACAACTAACTAAGATTCATTAAAACTTGACCAACTTATTTCTCATCTCAGCAACAGTATTTCTATAAAGTTGTAGCCAAATTTAAAATAGTAGTGCTACAACTCATGGCTAATAAGACATTTTCTAAAGTGAACGAAATAAACATTTTCCTTTGAACTTGTAAATAGCCTGGAACAGAAGATGAAATGGAAACTTGACAGAGAAAAACTACTAAGGAGTAATCATCAATGATCATTTTATCATGAACAATCAACCCAGCCCAGTTACCCATGGCTGCTGGATGCGAGTAGCACATAAAGAGTTGGGAAGAGCAGCATGAAACATATGTTATGCCTACACTTAAGAATTGCCAGGGCATATTGCACGTTAATGGCAAGTCATGTCACGGGACAGAGAAAAGGAGGATCTTTTCCTTCATTGTGGTGCCACGAACTGACCCCTGTTTGCCAGAAACTCCTACTGCTTTTCAGCACTTTCCCCCCATTGACTATCCTCTCTCCTCATTTTGACAGAGCTTTCAGTTTCCTTGCACCTGTTCCATTATTTGTAGCCAAATAACATCACAGTGTTCCATTTCCAAGTACATCAGGGAAATCACACAGCAATAGCAAACCAACCTGAACAAGGTACAACTAGGTACAACACTGCATTGCACAACAGACTTGGGGTTCTTCACATATAAAGGTTATTTCTGAAGCTGCTGGAGTGACCGAAGGACCACAGCAGCCAAATAGTTGAGTGACACTGGCTGAGCTTTGAAAGTATAAAATCATAGAATAGAATCACAGAATCCTTAGAGTTGGAAGGGACCTCTGAAGGTCATCTAGTCCAACTCCCCTACAGTGAACAGGGACACTACAGCTGGATCAGGTTGCCGAGGGCCTGATCCAGCCTGGCCTTGAGAGTCTCCAGGGACAGGGCAACAACTACAATTCTGGTCAATTTGTTCCAGTGCCTCACCATTCTCACTTTTTATCTAACCTAAATCAACCATCTTTGAACTTGAAGCCGAAGTGTACTGGGAAGGCAATGAGGAAGCATGTGAACATGCTATTAAATGACATACATGTTTCAGTCACTTGTTCTACAGTCTTTATCACAGACATTCCATCACCCATTTCCTCCAGAAGCTATGCATAAATAGTTCAAAGCACATATTGCAAATAATAAGCAACTGAAGAAAGAAGGAAAATGCATTAAAAGCATTTTTGTATTTGCTGCGGAATGGGGCTGTATGGCACTAGAAACAGGATGTCCAAGCAGTTGGACTTTAAAAGTTTTCTCTCATTCTTTATATATACATACCTCATACAACAAACTGTCTGAAGGTGGAAACTAAACTCAGGAAGAACAGCTTATAGGGACTATTTTTGTCCCTCAGCAACAGGTTCAACTAAACACTCCCCTTTCAAGAATTCACTGTATAAAGTATTTGCACTGCAAGATTAAAAAGATAGTGCACCACATTCACAACTGCAACTCTGATTTTTTTGTTGTTGTTTTGTTTGCTTTGGCAAAACCTGCCATACATATTTTTCAGTGCACAATGGAACAAACTCAAATATAATCCAGATACCCTAAAGCTTTACCTATTTTGCAGGTAACTTATGGAGGCATAACACCAAGCAACAAATAAATCAGCACATCCTACAGTATTTTTAAATAACTGGCATATTTCTGTGAAATTGATTGCACACTTTTTTCTTCCCACTTAGACAACATAGGAGCAGTTCATGATAGTATAAGAAAATGTCCAACGCTCCTCTTAACACCAAATGTAAATAGCTAGAATTAATTACTCTTTATACTCACTTGATGTAATAGGGCACTTTGTTTGGCGAGATTGCCCTCTCCCAGGGGCCTTGGACAGAAGCTGTTAACCAACAAAGAAACAAATAAATAAATAACTGCATACACACATACATACATACAAACATACCTAGAAGAGAAACATGGGGGTCAAGTTCAAAGCAAACAGGAAAGACAACATTAATCTCTAGAATTACAATTTTACACTTGGCCACACTGATATTGGTCTGTTTGCTCAGTTGCCCATGAAGGCAGGAAGGATTAACCCGCTGTTCTGAAATTTCTGGGCTAATCTGAGTGAAATTGAACTCATTCAGCTGCAAAGATAAATACAAAAAACTCCTTGGCTACTAAAGTTCAAGAACAGATATAAAGCAGAGCAGGTGACCTATCTCTGTGGTGTGCTCTCCTATAGGCTTCCTTCTGCCAGTGTGCTTGGCTGAGTTTTCTCCAATTTCTTTTCTTGTGTGATTAGCTCCTTACATCCATCTAAGAACAAAGTTAGACACTTGTTTACACTTCATGCTGAGTGAAGCTAAGCTGACATACCCTCTGAGCATTTTGTTTATTCTCCTGTTGACTTGTTCTAAGTGCAGAACAACTTCATTTTTATGTCTCCGCATGACTAACTGTGCTTTATTGACTTCCAATAATAGCAAGTAATGAAAAAAAGTAACAGTGTGGACACAAGAAACAGAGAGGAAATAACATTACTCAGTATTGGCTATCACAGTGTTAAATGTCAACATCTTACAATATAATGAAAATATTCTGTAACAAAGTCATATATAAAATGAATTGTTGACAAAATAGTTTTAAATAATTAGATTTTGTTAGAGGCATCTGATAATTTATTCCACAGTCTGAATGCTAGGTTGCTTCTTTGTTTGTTTGTTTAATTAAGAGGTTTTTATCCATCAAGAACTGTAGGACCAGAGATTTTCTTTTCCAATATAGTGATTCCTTTACATGAAAAGTGATCTAGTTGGGAAAAAAAAATGGCTGTTCGCTTTCCCCAGTGTAATCCTTCTTTTTAGTGACCCCTGCTGTTCATGGAGGAAAAGAATCATCTCCTGCACTTAACTCAGGATCACCTGAGTTAAACTAAATCACGTCCAATCTTTTCTTTCTCCTTCAAAGCAGACACTTCAATAATGACATTCCCAAGATGCAGGTACTTTAAGAAAGTCAACAAATCTCTACACCTCAGAAGAACCACTTTATATATTTGTACCAGAACTGTTAACCACATAGGAGTCAATCTGCAGAATGAAATCCACTCTCCTCCCCAGCTGACAGACTGGAGTTGGAGGAAAGATGTGAGACTTTCTTATAAAAGTAACTCCATTGGCAAGTTGTGATATTTTGATAAATGTGAATACATGTGGATTCTGGAGGAGGACTGGAAGGAGGACCCTGGTAAGGTGAAGCAAGGCAGTGTGAAGTGAGCTGGACCCATTTCAGATGTGCTGGAAAGGAGAAGGTAGCAGGGTGCAGCTTGGGCAGTGGGACAGTGGCTTTTGTGTGCACTGTAGATGATGCTGAGAAGCTAGGACAAGGAAAGAATATGTCTGGAAGAAATCCAAATTTGGTGATTGTGGTTCAGATTATTGGTGGCCTATGAAATGCGTGCTGTAGCATGTTAGTAGGTCCTGTGGTCATTGACTTTAACCCCCAACAAACCATCTACAGCTCAGCTGAACGCATTGCTTTCCCATTACTTGCATGGTTCTGCACTTTTTATGAAAGAAAGGAGAAATTAAATTTTGATGGCATGAACCGTGAAAACAGATAACTCTTGAAGTGCATCAGGAATGCGGAGTGAATTATAATGACAGCTCCCATGGAAAAAGAGTGCATTAATGCCATTGATGTGTCATAACCCACACATACAAAAGCACTGCACATTTTCCAATACCAATACACAAATGCACACATCAGTTAGGGATAGTAAAACATTCCTTCTTGGGACAGACACTGACTTATTTTTTCCAAGCTTGTACACTGTGCATTGTATTTCTTACATAACTCTCTCATAACAATGTGAATATCACCAGGCTACAGTTCTGCCACTCTAAGTTTTTTTTTTTTTTCTAATTAAACACCCAAACAACAGATTGCCACATATATTTTTGGAAGGTGTGCTTTTTCGGTTGTTTCTGAATTAATCTGCGTAAGAGCTTAGCAGTCATAACTTATCACAAAATCTTACATATGATGGTGTTCTGGATACTTTGAAAGAGGAACAAATACTTGCCTTCATGAGAACGAAGTGCTCTAAGGAATAATAAAATTCTGTGATGTTCTGTATAATTGGATTTAGTGTTCCTTCAAGAGATTGCTGTGAAGCTGTCTATAATACACTTTTGCTCTCCTGGATGATTCCAGCCTTGCCTAAATTTGAGTTGACAAAATATGCGGTACTTTTCACAGCTATGCTGAGAGAATAATCATTTCATTTTTGGCAGAAGCCCAGAAGCTGAGAGCAGCTGTTTCTTATTGCTGGTTACCAGTACGGATTTAGTACCCATTACAAAGCTAGCGCAGGTAATGGACATGCATCTGTAATTCCTGGTTACAAGCATTTTACTTGTCCAACTAAACACACTTGCTGGCAAACACTTTTCTCTATGATGCTGTAGTATCCGTGCACTGAAGAAGCAGACATTTTCCTCTTAGCCATGAGTAATTCAAAAGTGTTTTATTGTTCTAGCTTCCACAGTGTAAGAATCCATTATGATACACCCAGCTACTTTCAATGATGTCCACTGAAATTGAGTGCTATAACAAAATACAAGACATTTTAAGAGTGAATGTAAATTTCCCCATACTTTATTTTATTTTTATTCATCTTAATGGTTACCTAATTTGAGAGTTTTATTTTTCCTGTTGGTGTGCTCATTTCTAAGACTTGCTTCACCTGTCGTTGAGCGTAAGTAAGCATGGTACTTGGTGGTAAGCCTACAACTTTGTTTGTTTGCAGAATGCATAATGAAACAGTAATGTGCTGGCTCTAGGAACCTCAGCCGTGTTTTAATCTGTGTGGGCATCTGAATGAAATATTAACTATATTAAAGAATAACACTAAAATATGTGTTTATATTGTAAAACTAGTCTACTTAATATTTCCCTTTAACACAACAAACATCACGAAAAACACATGTATGTTGATTAATAGTAAACTATCCCTCCTCCAGCTATTCAAAGGGTTAATTTAGTATATCCACTGTTACAAATTACTCACAGTAGACTTTACTTATGCAATGAGCCCACAGCTCTATTGACCATACAGTGGGACAACTTTATACTTTCAGTTTTAAGTACGAGAAAAATCTTTTTAGTCTTAGCCATCACTTGTGGAGCTAAAGCACTGGGAAACAATTTTAGGACAGAAGTCATGAAGTCATACTTCCTAGTACCATATACTATACCTACTTCTAACATATACCTATACTCCATGCAGTGTTACGTATAACTTATCAATTATTTTTTTCTTACAAATTTATTATATTAATTATATATACATTTAATTTTCATGATATTAAAAGTGGAGCTCATCCATCTGTTCACAGCCAAGACCTGTGCTACCTGCTTGGTGACCACTCTAGCTGGAACACAAGGTACTTAATTACATTCATGTTTTATTAACACTAATAATTTGCTTCCTCAGCCTAGCTCTACCTGTGCAACTGCTATTTTTCTACCTGGGATGATCTTTATGCAAACATAAGAGCTAAGAGCTTGTTTTATTTCTACACATAAAATGTGTTTTTGTACCCATTGTTTCTACTGCAGCTAGTTATGGAATTGGCAACTTCAGATAAAGCAGGCAGGAACAACAGAACAATAAGACAGTCTTTGGGTCTGCAGAGGTTTTGCCTTCCTAATAACCAGAAGTTCGTGTGTGTAAGGTACTTCTCTCCTTCAAAGAAGATGCATTGAATGCTATCCCAATTATTTTAAAATGAGACCATTATAAAAGATAACCTGTTGTGCTCTACAGACTTCAAAGAGCTTATGCTTCTCTTCTTGAGTGCATACACTAAATCAATCTTTCTCCTCCATAATCAGTTCCTGATACACACTGGGGGATGTGTGCCCAATAGGTATCCCCATTGTGACAATGGCATAATGCAAGGGTTTGCATCATCTATGAGCTCTTTGACGTCCTTTCCAACAAACATCAGCATACATCTGTTAAATATTATTTTTTTCCAGATTTACAGTGAACTGATTTCTAAATTATGTGCATTTATTATTGTACCAAGGGAAATAAGGGAACAATCAGATTGTGTTGTGTAGCACTGAGACCTGCTGTTGCACTACATAGCTGAGAAACTGAACTCGGAACACAGTGACTGCGCAATTTAGAAGTTACAAGGCAGAAACATCAGTCAAAACCTGCCTTTCATAAGAGCTACACAGCATGGGGTCTATTCTGCTCTAAGTTCCAGCTTGCCGTACTGCACACGTGGATGACTCCCAGGCATTTCAGTGACAGCTACTTCTCAGTTTGCACTCTGCAATTCTTAAATCCAAGCGAACACCCCTTACTTCCCTGCAAAGCTTGCAGTGCTGTTGCTGCAACACACATGCAGGCATATAAGGAATACATTATTTTCTGAACCCATCTAATCAGTTTGAAGAAGGAATTATTAGTCATGAAAACATTCATCATGAAGTCTGAGACAGTATTAATTTGTTTTAAATGATTTATAAAAGAGGCTTTCCCTCCCGTATTCCCTTCTGGAATCCTTGTGGCCAACTTACTTCCTACCTGCAGCCTAGGGTCAACTTTGTATGATGCAAACTAAATACTGCATGCCTTACATCACGTGCAGTATTTTCAGAAGCTTCCAAAGGCCACTTGTAATGCAAAATATAAAATCTAATTCTCTTTTTTCTTAAATGCCACACTACTGTACAATGACAAAAATACAAGCATCTACTTGTTTAATAAAGAAATACGGCATGAAATAACATCAGAGCAATATAGTCTGCATTGATCCACATATCCCAAGTTACAGAAACTTCATGTCATTAACAGTGGCTGTTGCACTCAAA